GGGAAATTTACAACATGGCTAAACATCCTTCACTGCAGATTCTGAACTCAGTTAATTTTGCTGAACTGCATCCAATTTGTGCCAGGTGCATAAAACAGAGCTTTGCATCAATTATAACAAAACATAATTTAAAAAAAAAGAATCAACTTACTCTGATAACACACGCAGTTTTTCCCCTACATGAAATATAGGTTGGCTTATGTCTGCTGAGGGATAGTCATAGAGGACAGCAAGGAAATCACTCTCCTGACCTGTGAAAGAAGAAATAAAATGTCAATTGCAAACAAGATAGAGTTCTGAAGCAGAAATGGATTTTTCATTATGTATGTTGTATTTTATATAATAGGTCAAATGGGAAAAAAATCTCACTCTGAAATGTCACTTTGTAAACATAAAGAGCTAAAGATGAGCCTGTAAATTTGTAAGAAGAATGTGAAGATATTAGAAATGAAAGTAATTTGGTTAATTGTAAGTCACTAATTTTAGACCACTTTTTCTAGTAATTACCATATTTAAAGGACATATTCAGTCTGAAACTTGCAAAATTAGTAAGTACTTGTAGTATTAGGAAGTAACCCAGTTCAATTAATGCCACTGTCTTTAAATGCCTCCAGCTACAATTTCGAGCCAAGCTGACGCATTGCATTTAAGGAAAGGAAGATGCATGTTGAATTGTTCCATCATTTAACAGCGCTGATACTTTTTCAAAGGTATGAAACTAGTTTAGAAGAACAGCAATGAGAGCATGGCCGCTATTGCCCATTTCCCATCAGTTTTGTAAATTATCTTGATGAACAGCCAGAGAGCTTTATTCTCCCTCCTTGTATGGAAACTGTCCTGGAGGTAGCACATGATGTCCTTATCTTCAATTAAAGAAGAGGGTCAACAAGGGTATTTATAATTAAGTCAGTGCACAACTGCAATTTACAGAACTGAGGTCAGTAAAGAAATAAGAAGACCTTTTACAGTCATTTGGGATGACTCTGGGCCTTGCAGCACTGTGTAGGACATGTGCTGAGCCTCCTGGGTTCCTGAGGGATGGAGGAGGTACTTTTTGCAAGGCTGGGACTATCAAATATTCATGCAGGAATCTGTGGTGTCCAGGAAACGCTGGCAGATGATAGCTTCAGAAATGTGTTTTGCCGGGTGTTTTGAGCTCTTTGGCAGAAGTCTTGGCAAGAGGGATCGTGCAATACGCTGCCTTCTTTTCTCCTGGACGTGGGTCCCTTCCCTCTCTATGTCGCAGCACCCTCCTCTGGCACACGGGGAGACAAAACTTTCCCTTTGCCTCCCGCAGGATCAGCGCCCCATTCCTTAGTAATGCTATCTCACAGTACATCTGCAGAGGTGGTTTGATGTCCATCCTTCCCCACTCTGTGCCGCTCAACATGTGTGAAAATGGGAATGAATTCAAGGAAGGAAGGAAAGAAATTACCTAGAGAGAGAGACACACTTCTGTATCTTGCTAGATTTTCTCATTTAATTTAGATTCCTCATCAACTTATCTTTAAGGAAGACAATGTTTCAGGGAAACCTACTAACAGTATCTTGAATGGATGCTGAGACTGGCTCTGTGTTTGCAGCATCTGGGTCCCAGGGCCTTACAAATAACTCATAACGATAATGGTGAAAAGCTGAAGGAAACATGCAAGTCTGCAGAAAATAAATATTTTCAAGAGGAGAGATTTTACAATTGTTATCCTTATAGCAGTGATAATAAGAATATGCATATTAAGGAAAACATTCCACATCTGTGGTTTGAAGGAAATACAAAGTAGTGTTTTCTCAGTTGATTTTGAGTAGCTGTTTGTTGTTATGTCATAGGGACTTGTGTTATGCAGAGTAGGGGGTCATTTTACCTTAAAAGTCAAGCTGACTGTAAGCATTTTTAGTTTTGTTAGCTTTTGCCTATTGAAGTAGCCCCACAGTACAGTTAGTGAGCATCCTTATGGATGTATAGATGTGTGGAGTCTGGAATAGACATTGGTTAGTTTGACCATATGTTAGTATTGCCATAGTTTTCTTAGTTGATTAGTATCACTGAATTAAGCAGGACTAGTCCAGTACCTTTGTATTAATCAGCCAACTGCCGTGATTAGTCTACTGTAACTTGTTACACAATTAGTTCAACTATACTGAAGAAATTTTGTGCTAAGCATGCCTTTGATTGCTTCCTTGTTCTGCACTAAAAATTAAGAGACTCCTTCTCTGTCTATGAAACTGCTTACTGCCTGAGGCTAACGAGACCTAATTATTGGTGCTGACACTTCTTAAATGAAGCAAAATCTTCACCCAGGGCTACAAGAAATAAACGCCAGAAGGTACGTTGTAAGAACGACAGAGTGATGATAAAGTGCCGTCACCTAATTTCTCATTGAGATTGTTAGATAGCAGTTCTACAGGGAATGCAATTATTTTTTAGCTTAGTGAAAATCCCTTTAGCAATACTTTTTTTAAACTTATGTGGTTTATTTATAAATGTTTTGTTTCCATACTGAAAGGATGGAAAACAAGTGCTTTTCTGCTCTCCTTCCTTGCGTATCGGTGGTTTGCATTTCGTTATGCTCTGCGGGGTACATGACTTTTTCTCTACTCTAGCAGGATCTGCATTACTTTGCTTACACTTTCATCTTTATAATCGTTTTTGTTTCAATTTTGCACATTAGTTTGTAGTTCTGAAAAGGAAGGAATTAATCATAGTGTTGGCTGCCACATCCATGCAAACTTTCCTCTTAAACTACATGTACTTACATTAGAATGAAAGTAAAGGGATTTTGTGTTACCCAATACCTTTGAACCTTCCTACTCCACAAACAAGACCTCATTTTAATTGGCATTTAAATCAAACCTCACTGGGTTTTTTTTTGTCATGTAAAGTACCCCACTGCACTCTACAACATTTCATGGAACCCATACTAGCTCCTTTCAAACACAAAAGCCTCGAAACAGAGACTAAACAAATTACACTGTTTCTCCACACCTAAATTTCACAGTGATCTAATAGATTTGATCTGATGAGCTCCCCACACTTTCAAGTTGTAAAAGAAAAAAGATTTGCCTGAGTTTTTCTAACACAACCTCTCCTCCGCAGTGCAAGCATAGGTTACGTCTGAAATGGAACACCTTAGAAGTTAGAGTGGAAATATCAAAGCACAGTCATTTCCACTGAATCAGGTGTTAATTCTGGTGGGGTTTTTTTTTAGGAGTAGGAAATGAATATGAAGTACATGCTAATTTTCGATGTCTGTATCCTTGGATGTCTTGCAAGTGTGAGACTGAATATTGCATGTTTCAAATTATTCATTGTGAATGGACTAGGAAGCACTGTTAGAGAGAAGGGAGAGCATAGGCAGAGCATCAGCAGAGCATCCAGATCCAGCTCATCGCCCTCAAAAAACGCTGTGCTGTGCACCATTGGGTCTGTGTCTGGAGTGGGAATAAGCTGCTGAGAGTTCAGCTCCTTGCATCATCCCAGCTTTACTGTCCAGCAGAGATACTATGATTTATGGCACGGTGTATACCAGAGAGGGTAAAGGAGGGCACTCGTGTGTGTCTGGGAGGCTGTCTGTCCACCAGCCGTAAGGTGTGGCTGCAGAGTCGCACTGACGAACCCAAATTAGATCTAAGTCAGCCAGCTTGGCAACTGAGACTTATGCAGGTGCAGCTCAGTAAGGATTAACCCTTGATTCAGGGTCCCAAGAGAGGAAAGAAGAGGGGGTGGGCTCGCAACCCCTGATGACCCCTTGTTGATCTGTCTACTTGGTTGTCAGTACCTAGGTTGTGTCTGGGATGCCCATACAGTGTGTGTTTAGATGGAGTGCAGTCATATTTGGAGTCCAAATGCTTCTTTAGGAAATGCAGCTTATGCACTGTTCCCTTTCTCAGGACCAAGGCTGATGTACTGCAGGTGAGGAAAGAACAAGGTTACGCTTTTGGTGCAGCTCTTAAGCAGCACGAGGGGATTATAGGGGTCTGATGAACACATTCGTGTTGCAGATCAAATCTGCAGAGTCCAATTAACTGTTTTCTTCCCCCTTCTTGTTGGATATTCTTTCCTTTCTTTCTTTCCTTCCTTTCTGTTTGTCTTTCATTTTATTTAGCCTTACTGAAATGAGCCAGTGTAAAACCTACTTTTCCTAACAACTATGTGGACTGTTGCAAGTCTGTGGGTTGGATCCTCCTCCTCACTTAAATCAAAGGTGGCTGTTTCTGGCCTGAGGGAAATCTGTGTTTGGTGATGTGATTTGGAGTTTGGTCTGCTCAGGAAGACGCAAACTCACTGCATTATCCCAAATTTATGCTTTCAGCACCAAGTTCCTTTTCAAAAGTCTGTTTTCATTGGATTTGGATGATAGGACTGATGTTTCTATTCCCAACTTTAATTAGCAGCATCTAAGCCATTATGAAAGATGCTGGTCTGATCCAAACTAAGAGTTAGATCCAAAGAGCTATGCAGGTTGTTAAATCATGGAATCATAGAATAGTTTGGGTTGGAAGGGACCTTTAAAGGTCGTCTAATCCAGCCTCTCTGAAGTGAGCAGGGACATCTTCATCTATATCAGGTTACTCAGAGCCCCATCCAACCTGACCGTGAATGTTTCCAGGGATGAGGCATCTACCACCTCTCTGGGCAATCTATTCCAGTGTTTCACCACCCGCATTGTAAAAAATTTCTTCCTTATATCTAATCTTAGTCTACCTTCTTTTAGTTTAAAACAATTACCCCTTGTCCTATTACTACTGGAAAGCTTGTCTCCATCGTTCTTATAAGCCCCCTTTAAGTATTGAAAAGCCACAGTAAGGTCTCCCTGGAGCCTTCTCTTCTCCAGGCTGAACAACCCCAGCTCTCTCAGCCTCTCCTCATAGGAGAGGTGTTACCATCCTCATAGGGCGATGGCACTCTATTAGTTTTTATGGCCAAAAAGCTGCCTTTGGGTGCTTAAACATAGGTACCCAATATGAGCATCTAAAACATCCCTGTGGCCTTGGCAGACACCACGGCAGCTATGGGAGACTTGTTTCCTCCCCAGGTGGCAGCAGATCTGACAAAGCACCTTTCTAGATGTGCTAGACAGGTAAGAGAATGCAAATAGATCAGCCCTGAATTCCTAAATGGGTAATTTCCCCTTGAAGTCTCTGTGGTGTCAATGTTTGCTGAGTAATCTTTTAGGGGTATGTTCTTTTTACGTCATTTGAATGCATGCAGTTGGCTTTAGCCTTGATAAATCCTGGTTTTTAGCATGTGCAGGAACAATACAAACTTGGTCACAACCATGGCAGCGACCCCTCACTCCCCTGCTCATCAGAAAGGTCCTGCTCTGATGCAAGTGCATGTCTGTTTTGATGGTTATGGTATTGTGACAGCAGTTGTTGGGAATATCAACATAAGGCACTCTTCTTCACAAAAGAGATTGTCAGCTCATATTATAGGCCTCTGAGTAGCCATTAACAGTATTTGGTCTCTTCTTTATTAGGACCTAGAGCTTCATGACTGCCCCTGTCAGCTAGTTCTTGGCCATGCTAAAAGCAGGTCTGGGTTTCCTTCCAGTACTGACAAAACCAGACTGATTCCCTATAATAATGAGCAGCACAACTGGGCCATCTTTCATGGAAAACTCAAAAATTTTTATTAATGTGTTCCCCCTCTAAAAAAAACCAACCAAAACCCAAAAGAATAAAAACAAAACTGTATTCTCTTCCTCACCTTTGGGGAGTGATCTATTGCAGCTCTTGTACCAGCTGTCCGTCATACTACAGCATGAGAGCTGAGGCTGTACTCACTCGCAGTTTGGGAGTAGCAGGTCACTGAGTCCTTCCTGGTTTTGCCTTCAGATGCACAACCTCTACCAGCCTATGGCGAGGGCTTTGCAACTTGATATTTTCATGTGTGGATGGACAGGGCAGATGGGTTATATCCCCCTTTGGCAGCTTGGCCTGTGAAATGTGTATTTCTGTATAACCTTTATTGATAAAACTGGTGACAAGTTGGCTGTGTGCTGCTTTTAGTGCAACTGTCTAACAGGATACTTCAGGTTCAGTGCAAGCATAACATCATAAAGATTTTTAACCTTAAATGAAGCAAAACCAAATTTCAGGAACAAATTTGTATAAAATATCACTTACAAGTATGTCAAAATACAGTGTTTCTGGAGCAGTGCTTCAGTGCTTTCTGAATTGGAAGAAACGTCTTCCAAGGGGCATCAGCAAATAATAATTTTAACACTTGTGTTTTTTTTAATTTAAGTACTTATTGGAAAATGAGTAGAATGCACCTAAAATAAGCACTGCCTAGGGGATGCCCTCCTTCTCTCACAGCAGTCGTGCACTTGCCTACTTTTACTACGTCAGGCGGATGAGGGCAGACACATGGATGAACGTACCGAACATTTTTAACATCTTTTTCTCTTGAAAGAAATTGAATGAGTGCTTACCCGTTTGGCTCGGCACACTTGTTTCTTCGGAGGCTCTCAGCGTTTTCACCGTATTTCCCATTGCGCTCTCTAATTCTGTCAAAGCTCTTCAGAACTAAATCAAAGGAGACATTGAAATTAAACATCAGAATAACACCTGCTGTGCCAACAGATGAGAAATGACCTAGTTTGGGTTGGGTGTCTCCGATTTTGTGCAGTTTTGCTTTTGAGAACTCTTGTGTCAAATTCATGTGAGAGTTTTACATACTTGCTAAACTCTCACCACTTTGGTGCTTTTATCAGGGGAATAGCAGAAAACCACAGCTAGGGAAGTTGCTCAGAAGAACGCAATGTAGTAAAAGTTTCCATTACCAGTACCTCAGCACAATAGGAAGTCACAGCAAAGCCATGCCCGTACAGTCATTTCATATACAAAATGTTCTTTTCAGCATTTGGAGTTCTGAAGCTACAAAGAAATTAATAAGAGTGACATATCTGGTTTTCAGTGCTGTGTGTATATTATGTTGCTTTATTGCTGAACGCTAAGCACGTTGTTCAGTGTTTTTTTTCTGATGCAGCTGTGCTCTCAGCGAATGTGGGCAATGGTGTTTTGTTTTTTTTTTTTGAGTAACACCTTGCCTCAAAATGTTTGATCTCAAAACACTCCTCCTGCATAAAGCCACTGGTGCAAATTCTTCATGTAGTTGTCTTAAAAAGTCTTGGTGGATGCACAAGAAACAGCATCAGACAATTGTGGAACTGAATATGGTGAGAGGGACAATTTCTTCTCATGGCTTTGCTGTGGCCATCGTAATGCATCCCAACAGAGGACAGAGAGAAAAACCTTATGGATGTGGAAGGTGTCTCACTATATGGTATATTTTCAGAGGCAGAGAAGAATAAGCTATAATACCTGTTTGAAATTGTACATTAAAGCAAAACAATACCACTAGCTGATAATGAATTATTTTTTAAAAAGATATTTGTCAGTTGCCCTGTGAAAATGATAACAGGACCTCTAGCAGCATCATGGGGATATTTACTACACTCAAGTGCAATCTTCATCTTTCAGTCTTTTCTAGCTTAAATATTTCAAAGATGACGACTGCCTTTGGTATGCTCCTCTTTACTTACAACAGCCTAGAGCTTGATGGTGTTAACTGGAGAGGTGTCCGAGTTGAGAAGCAGTACTGGTTAAATCAGTGAGACTTTATTTTTGATTGTTGTTTGGAATAAGATTGGCAGAATTGAGTATATTGTTGAACACCATAAATTTCTGGTATCTTACAGCGAGTTTAGGGAGACATTCTGCAGAATAAAATGCCATTTGAAAGAGAAAGAGTTTGTCTCTTATCAAATGCAAATAGATCAGTGCTAGAACAGATGGTAAGGCACAGTTGGACTCTACTTAATCTGATTTTCAAGCTTCTTGGTGCTGGTTCCCAAAGGCTCTTTGCTAGAAGTCTCTGTTTCACCAGCCAAATGGCACATTACGCTTTCACTGCCTGCACTCGGGAACGAGTTTGTGGCACATCTGTAGAATGCAACTGTGCCAGCGTCTTTCTGACAAGTGTCTGAAATCTGCTTTCACAAGAACAAAAAACTATTTCCTTGCCTGATATAGGAAGTCTAGAAGCTGAATAAAAAGTAGCCTTTTGGATATCCACATTTGAATAAAAGGGTCTCTCTTGATCGAAAACGCAAAATCAATCTCCATTTAACTGTGCCTAAGTTTCTAAAACTGAAATCAAAATTCATTTTGGCAGGCACTGTCTACTTGCAAGATTATAATTTCCTGGACAAACTATGAATAGTTTTTCACAAGACCCAATTTTAATTTCTTCAATGTTTTTCTCAGTTGTATCCCATCAAGAATAAGAGGTACAGGGGGAGGAATACTGCAGCCAGTACTTTGGCTACAGCTAAAATAGATGTTCCTGGCTCATCTTCAAACTAGCCAGCAAAATTTCCTGGGCATGGCAACAGAGAGCTCAACAGGGCTGAAAAAGTCAACTGGAAAAGTGGGATAAATATCTGGAGAGATAACCTCCCTGCTCTGTGCTCTGTACTGAGCTGCAGTTTTGCAGTACTTGAAAAGGGCGGTTCAAATCTGGCAAAGTGTATAGTAAGTAAGCTGCAGTTACCAGAAGTTTTGAGCAATTCCAGATAGATGCCAAACAGAGGAGCATAAATATCTCATGTCCATCTGTAATTTTAAAATATGCAATTGTTATTTAGAGGAGAATACTACTTGAATTTCTTGTCACAAAAGTATGGAAAAATAAAAACAATAGTCCTACCTCTATGTACCCCTTTATTTTGGGTCTTGGTGTTTGAGGGCTGGGAAAGTAAGTCATCCTACTAGCGATCAGGCTTGTGACAGAGTGCTTTCAAGGGCTTTTTTCCTACACTTAAGACACAGTGCATACAATTTTCAGGTGTGCCTGAGTCACTTTGGAAAGTGGTATGTAACATTTGTACGTGATGGAAAGACTTCTGAGAACTTTACCTCACACTTGCAAACTTTCTAAAAGCGCACCACGTTTGAGCAAGGCACCTTCATTTTCCTAGGTGGTGTTTAGGGGTCTGAGCTCTAAATGTTGCTTTAAAAATACCTGAAGCGTGTTTGAAGGATGGTTTATATGCAGTTTGTAATTAAACCACTTGCTGCCTAGTCCAGACAGATTAAGTACTGGCCAAGAGACATGTGCCTACTACATATTTTTGCAGAGCACATCCAAAACTGGCCTGGCTCACTTCTGCCATACAAATCATTGTTCTTCTCAAAAGACCTATGAAGTCTACAGCATAGAGCATGCGGCTCTGTGCTGCTGCTTTAGATGTGGAAGAATCTGACTTACGGAAAATACAAATGTTATAAGGTACTTACAGTAACAGTGAAGAGCAATGACATTCTGGACTTTGATGTCACTGACGTGCCAGTTTGCTGTGTCGCATTACATTTTCCACGCTGTTCTACTGTCACTAATAATTACCATTGGTGGCATCGTAAAGTCTTGAAAGGGGCAGAGAGTTCAAGATGTTCTCTAGACTCATGACAGAAGTGTTCAATAAAAGTAAGCAAATGGAAAGCTGTGGCCACTGCTGTCAATTCACTTATCCAAAGTGATTAAAAGGAAAAAGAGAGATATCAGACTAGGTTTTAACACTAAGGCCACTTGTCATTATGCATTTGGGCAGAGTAAATATGTGCCTATAGTGCAGTCAAAGGTGGTGGAGTGCATGCCCTGAAGTATGGCTCAACTCTCAGACATTTGAAAATGGGATGGAATTGGAAGTTTCATTTGAAATGGGGCGAGAGGGAGCAAAAGATTGTTCCTACTTGCTCGCTGGCAATGACGTATCACTGGTTTTAGAGTAACAGCATATGAATTAGTATCCTAAGTATTTCTAAAACAACAGTGCATATGACTCTCAAGTGTGTGATAGAACTTAACAGCTTAAGTAGCTTGTGCTTGCATTGAGTATTGGCAGCGCAATACAAGTCCATTGTATCACTGGATGATAAATTGTAGGGTGGTTTTCTGAAATTTTGAGATACTCTACAAAAATTAACTTACAGGAAACTGTAGAACATCTTGTGGCTGAGCTGATTTTTTATCATTTAAGTCAATAGCAGAATGATAGCAGTTTTATAGATGATATTCTTTTGAAATGGCGAATCTGCTTCAGGCACTGCATCCCACTTATACACGGTGACGGAGTTTGGGATATGAGTAGAGGCGGCACCCCTCAGTCGGAGAAGCAGGTAATTATGCCAGATCCAAAGAAAATTGTTCACTGAGGGTGATTTGGGAACAATTAAGGAGAGATGATAGACTCTAAGCTCGCCTTGTCTTATCAACCCAAAGCCCTGCATGGAGGACAGCAGCTGCTGTTCAGCCCGGAGGAACCGCTGTGCTGCACGCCAAACTCTACCTGCAGCTTTCCCTGCTCACAGGCCACCTCCTCAGGCTGGTGTGGAAATTTGATTTTAAACATTAAGATCACATTTGCAGTCTTCCAAGCTTTGGTCCTTCCTCCCCTCCCCTTTCCACTTGTGCACATGCTGTTTAAGGAAAGCTGGTCGCTGCAGACATAGCTCTTTGCAAACGCACAGCCAGTGGGGTTTAGTGATCTTTACCGCTTTAATTTTGCTGCCAAAGGAAGGTGAGGAAACATCTACAGCCCCAGTCCTGCTTTGTGTCCTGTTTATCAGTGGCAGAGCTCTTGGCAGACACGAACACTTCACCTGTCAAGACTGGAATCTCACCGACCTAAATCACACGTCCCCAAAACCTCTGGTAGAATTTACACCTTCCGTTCCTGCGTGCGACACATGCAGCAACAGTTTCCTCTCGTGGAATCTGTTCTCTGAGAAAATGTGCTTCTGGAGCAGTTAAACAGCACGGCGCATAGGAAAGTCCGTTGCTTTGTAAGAATTTTTTTCAAAGTTATATTTAAAAGGATTGAAAATCAGTAAATATAAAGAAATTAAAAATAATAAGATAAATAAAAAGACGAGATAAGCATGTGAGTAAAGCCCCTCTGCAAGGAGTACTGCAGACTAGTGAAATTAGGACATTCATCATTCTTGAGATAGTATACCCTATTTTATTTTTTTACCTGATATTCACATCTATACTCCCATGATCTTAGGACTTAATTCTCAGTCAGGTTCAAAGGTAATGTCTGAATCCCAATTAACTTGAACATGAGAACACCAGCATCCTGTAATTTTTCATGTGGGAAAAAAAGCAGCTTAGATTTCAGCAGCTGTTTATTTTTTAGTGAGTTTCCCTTAATTTGTCATTAATCAAAATGAGCATCCTTTCAGCTTTGGGGCACTTGTACCTTTGCGCTTAGAAACAACAATGTAATGCCGTAACCAAGGTAATTCAGAGAAACATGCAACTGTGAAACGACACAGAAATGCCACATTATGCAAACTTCTAACAACCTGAATAAAAAACCCCACTAATCTGTAGGCTCATATTTTGTGTTATAGTGAAATACAGTTTGCTTCAGCATAAGGTCCTATCTTACTGTGAGCTTTCAGTAGAAATATTCCTTATCCCTTCTATCTTTAGTACTGAAAAGGATCAAGGCAGGCTTTTCTCTTTCTACCTTTAGTGGTACTTGAAATCCATGGTCTGAATACTGTCATCGTTAAAGAAATACAACTCCCTTTTATATGATTAAAATTGAAACATTTGATCCCGTATGCAGATAATCTAGAATGTATCAGAGCAATGATTACCTTTAAATGCTAG